CCTCACTTTATACTTTATCCATAACCTTTCAGGCTGAGTCCGTTGGATATCTGGTAGTTGATATATACTGAACTATATTGCCAATGACGCAACTGCCCAAAACAGCATATTGACAAAATATGAGTACCAAAACATACACCGGGTGATTTCATCACAAAACGCCTTGTGCACACTGCCGTTTGCCGAAGAAAACTTATAGGAGCATGTTAGAGGCATATACATTTTTGGGGACGAAGAATGCGTTCTCTGGTTTCTACCAACAACCGTATCCTTTTTGACATCATCAATTGACATTTGTTTAGTATGACAGTCTGAGATGCGTTGTCGGTACTATAATGACAAATAATATATGTATTGCACTTAACGGATTTAAGATAACAGAAGATACGCTCCGACATCATGAACAATCCAGCAATACTGCAATTAACACTACAGAGACTGAAATAGCCATTTTGCATGTAGTATTTTCTCCATCTACTCATGCCTAGTCCAACGTCTGGATACCGTTCGATTTGGTGGTTCAGTAGTGCTAAACTATAGCCACTAAAAAGTAAAATGACACTCTCAGTTGCCCTTATTTGCGTCCGCGTTTGTGCCTCTATATGCCCTATGAGCCGCCATATGACCACATATTTGGACACTAGATTGCGCTCCGACATATAGTGGAGTGCAGTGTACCCTGCCACCTGAGAGGTGAACGTACATTCCGACGACCGTGAAGGATGGTTTAGGGCGTGTAGTGCCACACAAAGCTGACATGAACTTTTAGTTAAGATACGTTAAAAATGTCTCACAGATGTGTACATGCATGCCTGAAGGCCCAGTATGCGAGACAGGGTGGGGTTTTTTGATTGCACGTGTCCACTTGATATTCTTCAGGTTGAGCAAACGCTGTGCGCGTGCATGCAAATGCACTTTTATCTCAGATTGGCGGTACGATCAAACCACGAGGCTCTTTACCACGTGAAATGTACACGACATTTTGCGATGACTGGTAAAGCCAAGGATTTGGAGACGAGACATTAGAGGGTCCTTTTAGATTATAGCTGATGTTTTGGCTAGCGAGCTAACGTGCTATTCATTTACTTTTCTGTATTTTAACGTAGACATATTAATTTTAGTGCTCAGTTTGTTTTGCTGAGCATTTCTTATGTATGTACTTTAGTAGGTTCATAGTGCAAAATGGCATCTGGCATCTGTGCCGAAGGCGGAAATTTTGATTGTTCTTGGTGATTTCAATGCCCGCCTCGGCACAGACCACGCTGCCTGCAGAGGCGTCCTCGGACCCCATGGCCTCAGAGGACTCAATGACGATGGCCTAACCTTCTTTCGAACCTGCGCGGTGCACCGTATCATACTGACTAACACCTACTTTAGCCAATCGATGCAGCACAAGGTGACCTGGATGCCCCCCAGATCCCGTCAGTTGCATCTTCTGGACTATGC